TGTATATGCATTACCTCTTTCCTATAGCACCCACTGTTCACGAACCGTCCATTCGCGCCATGGTCCCCCTCTTGGAAGGTGATGGAGCCCACGGCGTTCTCAATCACTCATCAGCATCGCAATCACCAGGTCTCCATTCTGGAGATATTGTGTCATCACGTAACCGCACACTCCTGACAGCAATTTGTGCGTGCACGGCTCTCATGCTACCTGCGTCCGTTTTCCCGATGCGGGAAGAGATTGGACGTCAATTCCTTACAGCCTCACGGGAGACGCTGAAGCTACATCAAGATTACGGTTTGTGAAACGTTCTCAACGTTCTGAACGAAGACTTTGGCTGACTTGACATAAATCTTGAAGATATCGAGCAGCCCGACTATACCGCTCTGGTGACGAGATTCTACCATGCCAACGCCTTGCGTGCTATTGGAAAGACGAGGTTAGGCTGGCACGTACTAGGGGAAGCCATACGCCTGACACAAGAAATGCGGCTCTACGAAGAATCTTCATTCGAGAATCTTGACCCAGTGGAGGAACATCTGTTGAAGAACATCTTCTGGCAGATTCATGCTGTCGACAGGTCCGCATCCATCCTGATCAGTCGTCCAATATCGCTTCATCGCCTTTGTGTAGGAGCTAAAATCACCACATCTTACTGGCGTCGTCCGTCATCTGACGCGCCTTTGCTGGACTACTCGACCACTCCAAACGCTCTCGATATAGAGAGCATGGTCAGCCAGGGATTTGATCTTTGCCAAGACCTATGGACGAAAGCATCCGACATAATCATCAAGTTCGACACTCTGGATGTTTGGAACGAAGGCATTACGGATGGCTCTGCGTTGGTTGGCCCTCAACACACAATAGTCATCACCGACTACCTCGAGTTCATCGGCATGATCGATCACTTCCGATTTGATGTCAAGGTACCGGACACCACGAATACATCTGACCCAGCAACCATGGCCAGGATTCAACGGGCCTTTGATATTCAAAGAGTAAATCTATGCGTCACCTACTACTGTCTGAAGCTAGTGCTGCTCCAGAGATTCTACGATGGCGGAGTAGCTGAGCACCTAGGCGTTCCTGGCCGGGCATACGGGATTGCGTTGAGAAAGATCGATGTCGCCAGTGACATGGTCCGCATACTATCAGAGGCATCCTTCGAGTCCCTTCAAGTAAATGGAGAGCCTTGCGTAGGTTTACTTTGAGTTCATCCAAGCAGTATTACTGACAACATCGCAGGTGCAAATGATTCGACGCATGGGCGCGACTCTACTCAGCATTGTACAAGAGACCGATAACACATCCCTGAAGGAACGTGCGAAGTCATTGTTCCTCACCCTCTTGGATGTGCTATCGAGACTGGATTCTCGCGTCTCCGAGGAGCTCGACTACAATCGCGGCTTTTAGAATACTCGACAATGTACTCAAGACGTACTATCGGTGTACAGCGCGAATTCACGCTTCTGAAGAGTTCGAGATACAACGCACCCTCGGATCGTGGTTTGCCCTCCTTTTGTACAGCCACTTCTTGTGCCATGGTCCAAACTCGTAATTTCGCCCGTTGGACTTACAAAGAGCCGTCACGGCTTTCGCATGCTGTCCTTGGAAAATTAGCTATACATGAGACTCGGGAAGGAGTAACGTGCCTACGGCGGCCATCCGCACTGGGAGCGGTAGCTGAACAAGGGCGCGCATGCGACATCCCCAGTCACTTCTAATGTATGATTCACCATGGCCGGCGTGTACGCAAGACCATTGGCCGGCAACGATCATGGCATCCTAGCAGGAGTAGTGTTGTTGCCCAACCTACGAAACGAGGCCAATTAATCCACCACCAAGTCAAACACATACCCCGCAGATTGTCGGATTTGATTTCCGCGACACACACGGAAGCGAGCCACTTTTCAAAGCCGTATCCAGTGCGCCGATGAGCTTTTCGCATGGCAACAACACACTGAAGCTGTCGAGACCCTGGACGAAGAATCCAGCAGTGCAATGCAAACGACCAAGAATGGCTACCTTACGACGACAGATCTTGTCTGTGATCAGTCATCGTCAAATGCAGCCATGAAGATACCGACACTTATCGCAGCATTCGGTACTTACCGATCGCATGCGCTTGTCTCAACGGCGCCGTTAGCTGTCGTTCGATTCGAATGATCCAAGGATGCGGGAATAGGGATGATGCTGCCGACCAAAGCAAGCTCGAAACCATAGTTGATCGGAAGCGGGAAGATGAGAAAACATCCGTCCCGAAATAGTCGACCCACCGATCCGAGAGAAACCCGAAGAAACATCTACCAAGCCAACGTTCGCTTTCGCTGCCCAAGATCACGAAGACCTAGGCTTTCATGATAACGTTTGTGATCCCTGGTCCGTATTGGTGCGTTTTGTCGTGGGCAGTCTCCCCATACGACCCCTCCAACATTAAGCATCATCAGGGTCGTAACGAAAAGCCAGAAAAAAATTCGCTCGCAACCTGAATAATGCGCTAGAACATGGAAACGTCGTTGCAGTCGCGATACTTATACTCGCGTCGCGGAGCCACCTACTCGTCTGCACTCGCATCAGCGTTCGAGGTAGCCTAGAATTCCTCCACGGCGAAATGGCGACCCCCGAATCATGCATACGCGCTACTCACGATTTGTCAACTGCCGGGGATTGTGGCTCGCGGATTACAGCCGAATGGGCGGTGGAGCGAGCGACTCCGTTACGCTTTTGGTATAGCGCTCCATATTTCTCCGTGGTGAAACGGAGGCGCAAAACACGGGACGCAGATTTCTCCATGGAGTAATACAGCACGACAGAGTGGGATTCCAACTTAAGGCAGTAGCAATCCAACCCGACACCGAACACCGAATCCACTTTGCTATCAAGCCCGCAATTGGTAATTTTCTCCGATCGGAACCGCTCGACGCGACTCAGTCCACGTCGCGTCATCCTCCGAACTTTGCCAACCTCTCGATCGCTGTTTCGCTGTCTCACTGTGCACACTGAAAGCCTGAAGCATGTTCCGGAATCCCATCATACCTGGCTTCGCTCCTGATCCATCTGTCGTCCTTGTGAACGGAATCTACTATCTCGCAACTTCTTCTTTTCATCTGTTCCCAGGTATTCCGATATATGCATCAACAAATCTGCAAGACTGGAAACACATTGGTTCGTTTCTGTGCGCATACTGCAAAGATGTGGGCATCGGCTGAAGCGTTCTAGGAAACGCAATCAATAGATCCTCACAACTCGACTTGAGCAATGCGGTCACAACCGCCATGCCGCTCAATGACGGCAATGTCATGGTAGCATCCGGAGGCCTATTCGCACCCACAATTCGTTATCACGATGGCGTCTTTTACATCGTCTGTACAAACTGCTACCCCGAAAGCAACAACTGGCGAACAGACAACTTCTTGATTCATACAAGAGACATATGGTCCGATGTTTGGAGCGATGCGATACCCTTTGAGTTCTACGGCATTTACCCTTCTCTGTATTTCGATGACGATAATCGCGCCTACATTCAAGGCTCATGGATGATGAACCGCCTGAGGGAGCCTACTTGCACGATCAAGCAATTTGAGATCGATGTGAATACCGGACAACCCTTATCTGAGACCCGAGAAATCTTGGGTGCCTTTCCAGATGGCGACGCCGAAGGGCCCCACATCTACAAGAAAGATGGCTGGTACTACTTACTTGTAGCACAAGGCAGAACGTTCGCACACCATATGCTATCAATAGCACGCTCAAAAGACATATGGGGCCCGTATGAGCAATGTCCGCATAACCCTGTGCTGACTGCAGATGGCACGAATGAGTATGTGCAGAACATCGGCCACGGTGAGATCTTCCAAGACGTGAATGGGGAATGGTGGGCGGCAGTGATAGGAGTACGAGGAGACCAGGAGTCAGCACCGATGGGTCGCGAAACCTTTCTAACAACAGTCGAGTGGCCGCAGGATGAATGGCCTACGATAGAGCAGCCACGAATGTCGTTCAGCACACCGCGTACAGTTCAGATGGGTTTCGCCGCTGCACGGTTGCTCAAGAACGTCCGACAACTGAAGCCTCACATCGACGACGTATACCTGCACAAGCCCCTACGACGACCCTACAAGAAAGCTTCCTCAATAACGCTCACACCCACCACTTCGAGCCTCTCCGCCGCATCAGCACCCCTAGCCCTACTCGCCCGCCGCCAACGAAGCATAACAACCATCGCAACAGCCACCGTCCTCCTCGACAACGAAGCCACCCACTCCAACGCCATCGGCGGCCTAACCATCTACAAAGACCCCCTCCGCCACGCCAGCATCTCCGTCTGCCTCTCCACCCGCCTCATCCACGTCCACTTCGTCGACGCATCCAAAGACTACGAGTACACAGCCTCCTACCCCGAACCCGTTTCCCGCTCTTCCACCGCCGTCGACCTCCGCATCATAGCCGCAGAAGAGCGGTATGCACTCGAGTTCCGGGATCCGGAAAGAGATAGAAGGTGGAATCAGGTTGATGTCGTGGATACGAGGATGTTGAGTGCGAGGGATTTCACGGGCACGGTTATGGGTATTTTTGCGCTGACGGATGGGAATGCGACGCCGAGTGTTAGTCCGAGGGATGGCTGTGATAGTGGGAGTGATGTTACGGATCAGAAGGTTACGTTTCGCGATTTCGAGGTCAGGCGGTAGATGGATGACGGATGAATGACGGATGGATGCGGTAATGGTCATCAGCATGTCAGGAATGGCGCAGGGATGGACCGTGGAGTTTTTCGTTTCTTGCGGAGGCGTTGGTCGTATGGAAGGGTGTGTCCTTATCTTGCGTGGTTTGGGAGCTGGCGCTGGCATTCTGAGTGTTGTCAAAGGTGTCATGAGTGATCAGGTTGGATGATCTACACTGGGTTGATTTGGCATATCTAAGTTTTTGCAGGGTTATATCGGTAATGTTTTAATGTGTTGCATGAAGGAGCAATCTTTTCATACATATCTTGCTATGCGAATCTACTTGGAGTGCACTTGTTGAAATAGTGCTTTAACTCGCTTGCCTGCTTGACTGAATAGACCCGTCTTTGGCTTAACGTGATCACCTGATACGATACCCGTATCTTCCGTTGCGTTTGACGTCGCTGTTACCATGACAGACTCTCCTTCATCGTCTTTCCCTCCTTCCTTCCTTCTGGACACCTGACCCACATCCAAAACCTCCCACCTATCCCCCCTCTGCTCAACAACAACCGTCTTAACCGCCTTACCCTTTCCAACACCTCCCGCTATCCCACCATAACCCTTCTGGTTCGACAAAACCAACGTATCCGTCCCTTCATCCCGAAACGCACAACTGTAATGTGTATGCCCGAACGCCCACACTTTCACAGCTGGTGACATCCAGCATGTTTCTTTCGACAAATCAGACACGAAACCAGAGTTCATCGTACTAGAGGCATGTCTCGGATCAGTTGCGCGGGGATCGATGGTAGGGCAGTGATGTGTCGCTATGATGACGCTTCGATGCGGTTCGTCCTCTTGGATTTGATGGACTTGAGCGTTCAACCACTCCAGATCACGCGCGTGCTCTGTGCAGCTTTTCTCCACCGTCCAGTCCTGTATACCGCGCTCTTCGTTGTAGTCTGTCATTCTAGACGCGACTTCAGCGGCTTGCTCAGGCTGGATATCGCTCCAGAGCGTGCAGCCTAGGATCGTCACGTTTTCGTTGACATCGTAGCGGTCGCGAAAGAGGAGACGGAAGCGACCGCCGTAGTCTCGTTTTGCGGTGTTTTCGAAATCTCGCATGCGCTCGACGGCACGCTCAAGAGTTGTTTGGTAAGCTTCATGGTTGCCCAGGACGTAGAATATGCGGCATCCCCGGTTTTGGTCGAGGAGATTGCGGAGGAATGTGAAAAGGCCTTCGTGGCGGACTAGACCTATGTCTCCAAGTAGCAGTAGTGCGCTGCCAGTGACTTTGAGTTTGATGTGTGAGTATTGTGGGTTGTTCATGGGGGTCTCCAGATGCAGGTCGGAGACGATTTGGAGTTGGGGCGCGAAGAAAGTCATGATGGGATTTGTGTTTTGTACGAATAGTCTGGGGGTGACGTTCTTCTTATGAGTCTATGCGATGCGCTAGCGAGGAGAATGTATCTTGGTTGTGGGGTTCCTTGGTAACCAATGGCCGACTAGTTGATAACGTCCATGGCGGTCACGTCCGACTTACAATAAGACTTTTGCTCACTTACACCTGCAAACGTTACAGCAGGTAAACAAATGCTGATATAAAATCGTGCATCTCAATTGCAGGGTATCTATAAGAAATTTACACCGCCCAGAACGCCAGTAAAGCTCAGCTACTCCCTTCCCTCTACTTCCTGAACAAACTCGTCGCACTCCCCGCCAGCGGATTAGGCTGAAACTCCATATCATTCCCGCCCGCAAACAGCGGCACACTATCATCATCGACCCTACTCCTAGGCTTGAGCTCCTCCCCCCTCGCAATCTCAATGGTGCTAATAACAGGCAGCGCCAACAATAGCAACGGTAACAATTGACCGAAACTCCAGTTCCCTTCACTGGGTCCGACTAGATGGACAGACTCAGGTGGATGACCAAAAGCCTGACTTTCGAGAACAACGCGCACGGTAGCGCCGACGCCCATGGCGAGACAAGCGAAGAGACCAACGACCTGGACGGTCTTGAGCCATTTGGGGTTGGACCGGTTGTGCAGATACCAGGTTGCGAAGCCGAAGGTTATGACTTGTCCTGCGATTACGGCGATGGTGCCGGCGATGGAAAGAGCGGCGTTTCCGCTTGTTCCTTTGCTTTCTACCTCCCATACGCATGCAATCGGGAGTCTGGGCTCCATATCCTTCATAACCGTCTGCAGTATGAACACCCCGCTCAAAATGCCCAGGAACATGTTCACTAACATGAGTATCTGTCTAATCCACCGCAGCACCCAGTCCCTCTTGAAGTCATTGACAAGCGCGAGTAACGTAGCGAGGTTTGTAGCCGTCGATAGCAAGGAGAGGAGCCAGATGATGAAGAAGTGGTATGGCACCATCGTTTTCATCTTTGCTAGCCCAACCGATTGGATGCCGATACCCGTTAGAATCTGCTGGTCAGAAAAGGACTGGAGGAGCTTTCGCGAAATGGGAGCCGAGGTGGATTTTCGTAGGCCGAGCAGGATGATGGTGGCGGAGAGGAGGATGGAGAGGATGTTGGTTATTATGAAAGAGAGGAGGGTCTGTAAGATTCGGAGTTAGTTGGGGGGAGAGAGTCGGATTGAGGTGGGGGGACGTACGCCTGCGCCTGCTACTCCTGCGTCGGTGTTTGTCGTCTCGGGGACGGTGGAGCAGTTGAACGCCATAGTGACGTCTTGTTCTTCTCTGTCCGGGTGGTTGTGGTGGTGTCGAAGGAGTGTGGGTGCGTCAGGCCAGCATGCGCAAAGTCGTATTGTGGTATCGCGAAGTTCAAAATCGCAGTCGCAAAGTCGCAAATACGCGCAACAAACAGAATGACGTTAAAGAAAGATTCGAGCCGAGTCGCGCAAGTTCACCAGGAAAGCAACAAGAAACAGAGAGCGAAAGTGAAAGTAACAGAAAGCAAGAACCTCAGCACAGCCTCACACAATGTCATCATACCCTACCAGGGTCCCTCCCTCCATCGCATCTCCCATCTAATTTAAGGCATGTAGGCGAATGCGCCTTTCCCATACCTATCCACCATCCCAGGGGTAAAAAGATCGACAGCGTGAAACAAGGCGGCACTGCCGGCCAATAGCCGATCTCCGCCCGTTGACATCTGTGGCGTAAGCGCGCAATCTGCGACAGGTGCTGGGCCAGTTAGAGATGCGGGGTAGGATATTCCATGGATGGACGATGGTGGTGGGTCATGCGTTGAAAGGACGTTGGGATGCGTGGTGAGAGGGAAGTGGAGTTTGGAGGTGAATTTAGGTGCGAGGGCGCTTGCGCAGGGGAGAGGTGGGCGTGCAGGAAGGGCCCGCGACCATCCGCCGGCATGGCGCGTAGCGTGGAGGCGGTTTGGGGGATCTCAACTTCAGCAGATATTTCTTCATCTCGCGACATACAAAGTTCTTCGAGGTCATGAATGCTTGTAAAAATTCGCTATCGCTGAGTTGCACACGGTGGTGCAGATGGTCTAGCAATTCTCATACATCCGTCGCCCATCTCGCCCATCTCACTCCTCCGAAGGCGCGGACGCCGGCTTACTCGTCGGCGCATACGCGCTCTTGCCTCTGATCTTCGCACCTTGAAGGTAGAACCAAATTGGCACAGGTATCATCGCAGCAGCGAAACATCCAAGTAGAGTCGAAGCCCATTCCACGCCCATACCCTCGAACATTTCCTTCGCAAAGAGAGGAAACGCTGCTCCCCATATGCTACGAAGGAACGTATTCGCTGCGATCGCCGAGGCAGCAAACTAGGTAACATGTTAGCAAGAACCTCGAAATACGGGGATGCGGGCTCTTCTTACCATGAGATAAGCGTCGATGATATAGTTGAATGACTGCAGAAAGATACTCATGATACCGAATCCAATCAGCAATCCGGAGCACGTAGGCACGATCCAATGGATATCCGCGCGATACCCGGTCCATCCGAACCAGAACAAACCCCCCGCGAAAGCGACACCACCCACGATAACCTCCGGCAACCGCCACTCAGGAATCGGGACGTTGTTGTTAGCAGCGAGCTTCTTCTGGTACCCGGGCTGCCTCGCAAAGATAAACACGCCAGCGAACAACTCCCCGATGATCATTCCAAAAAATGGCAGACCACCAACACCCGGGTTCATACCATGTACGCCCTGGAATACGATCGGATACGCTGTGAGGAAGAGATAGAGCAGTCCGTAGATGAAGGCGATGTAGATACTGAGCAGCAGCACGATGCGCTCCGTCACCAGCATCCTAAGCGGCCTCGAAAAGTTCTTCTCGATGAGTTCGCGAAAGTCGACTTCAATCTCTTCTTGCTTGGCGTGGATGCCCCAGTTCTTTGTGCGGCGGCGCAGTTCGACGGCTTTGGCGACGAGGATGATGGGTGGGTAGGATTCGTCGAGGAAGAGGAGCATGAGCGTGAAGGAGGCGAAACCCATGAAGGAGCTATGATGGGATGGTTAGTATACGAGTTCCTTGTAGAAAGGAGGGGAGGGGGGAAGTGCTTACACAAGGTATTGAGTCCATCGCCAGGAATTCGACATGACTATGAAGCCGCCGATGAAAGGAGCGAGGAAAGGACCTGTGAAGACCATTACGCTGAACAGACAGATTGCTATTCCACGCGTCCTGTTGGCGAACATGTCGGCGAAGACTGCGGCAACAATCTATGTCCATATCAGCACCTCGCCCCATCCATCAAGATTCCGCACAAATACTCACGGTAATCGGACACGCGCCAAAGAACCCCGCGAAGAACCTACAGATCAAGATAGTCTGCAGATCCTTGGCCGTCGCACACGCAACGTTGAAGACCGAGAAGCCAAACGATGCCACCACAAGCGGGAGTCTCCTTCCTTTGAGCTCTGAGAATGGTGCCCAGAGAACGGGTCCCGTGGCGAATCCTAGGATGTACAACGATGTACCCAGCGTAGCGACAACGTAACCCACGTTGAATTGTAGCTCGATAGCTCTCGTCGCGGTACTGAAGATCGAACTAGCGAATGAAGCTGTGACTGTCGTAAAGCCCTGTCGCACAGCACACAACGTCAGTTTAATTCCCTGACATAAAGACTACCGCGTCTCTCGATGCGATATTCGACTTACCAACATAAGCGCAGTAAACAACTTCTTGCCCAACGCCCAATTCTGCGCATGCAACGGGTCATCTTCCCCATCGAATTCGACGACATAGTCTTCCTGGTTGCCTAGAGGAGGAGGATACGGTTTTCCTGCGCCGAACGCTGGTAGTGGGCGAGAGCGGGTAGACCTGCTGCGGAAGACACCGAGGCCACCACGGGCGCCGTCGCCGACTGTTTGCGAATGCTGTCTCTTTGACGTGTGGACGCGGTTCAAGGAAGAAGCTTCGTGGCGGAGGGCTTCGACGTCGGTCTGAGGGTTTGTCTGGGATGGGGCGGTACGTGAGGTTGAGGTGGCCGCTGTGCTTGAAGAAGATCCTGTACACAGTACACCACCGTCCTTCTCGTTGTCTCTGTCTAGAACTCCGGCCTGGACATGTGCGAAGCTGTCTGGGCTAGCATCTCGCTGTGCCATCTTCTGCGTGTTGCGGTTGTTTGTCGTTCAAGATGACTACAACGAGTCCAGTGCAGCAACGGATACTGCGACCCGATGCTATACATATTCTATTCTTCGCACATGTTTAGCGGTCAGTATGGTATGTTGAACGTCCGTTCCTCCGCGCCGAACTCCACAACAATGTTGATCCCAGAGCGCGAGCATCGGGGATATAAAAATGCACCGACGAAAGGGACGTTGTTATTTGCCAGAAGACAACGCATAAGTTTTGCGAGTCATATCGGGGGATGCCAATGTTTCGTATAAATCCTATGCTACTTTATATCCTGAATTGTTGGGAATCCTTCACACTGATGGTGCTGATCACGGCGTTGGGGACGCGTTGTGTGGTTGGTGTTGATGGATGTTTAGCCATCATGGCGCCGTGGAACCCCCGAAGGCACGTCGACCATGACTAAGAAAGCAGCGAGCCAAGCCTTCCTTCGTCCTTTGTATATAGAGGCATTCTCCCAAGCCGGACTTTGTCCATCGAGGTTGGACAGTCAGCATAGCAGTCGCTGATGTCTAGGTTTGACTGCCCGCAGTTCTTCGCGTCGCGGGCGAAGTGCTAAGAGGTGTCGCTGCGCCGGCCCACCTACCGTCACTACTCGACTTGGGCAGTACTTATGAGGCGCACACTCACAAGGCTTGCCGTTATTACGTCCACGCCTCCTCCATGTGATTCAACAAGTCACAAGTGCATGTAAGACAAGATATGTTGTTGTCCCGCAGTGGGAGGTGGTATCTCTACCATGTCGTGATTTTTGGTATTCGTCTAGCAACTGCTCATAAAGACGTGAAACCGTCCGTC